CACGGCGAGTATCGTGTTGCACGCGGGTGAAATATCTGTCGGCTGGATTACAGGAACGCGTGTAATCGGGCCGTTTAAAGCCGCGGAGAACTAAAGACGCGGACGCCGACGCGATCCGGTTGAAACGAGGATCCTGGAACGGTCCAAGCTCGCTCGTTCCGCTCGCGAAATCGCCTAGACCCGACGTGAATGCTCGTCGACCGTTCGTCTCTAACAACGATCCCAACTCCGTGTCTGATCTCGGGCCTGGAACGCCGGGGAAACAGCTTTTATTCACGATAATTGGAACGATTAACGAGCCAGTTTCTCTTTTACTCGGAACCACGTCACCCGAAAGTGAGACCAATCTTTACGAAATGCTCTCTCGCTCGCTCGCTCGCTCGCTCGCTCGCTTACCGAGTGGCTTGCTCTTCCGTGACAGAATGGAATCTCGCGAAGTGTCGTTTCAATTAACGACGCCGTTACGGCGATTTGTTTTTTCACTCGTTCAACGGATTATCCATCGTATCGTCCGCGCAACGACGCGACGCACGGTGCGGCCGTTTTCTGGTTAAAACTGGATAACTTGCAACGTTTGAGTGACAGAAACAAATGCTTCGGATTTTTTTCCAATGACAATGGATACTTTGCGTTTCGATTCGAACGTTATACAAATAGAGACACGGAATTTACCTCTTGTCCGAGGAGAGGGCTAGAACGCGATTCTTATCGGAAACGTTCGATCGGTGCTGCATTAAAATGGAACCACTCGGAAGCGATCGTTGATCCGAACGAGGAATGGAACGCGTAAGTATCGTAACCCGTTTCACCGATGAAACATGATAAAAATGATCGACTCGCATCGTAACCGTTCATCAGAAATTCGTTCCCGTTGATTAACGAGAAACGCACAGAAACGAAATTGAATTATACGACGGTTGGGAGACCGCCTGGTTTGTTTAGAAATTATCGAGAGTCCCGATTCGTTGCGCGGAACACACGTACGCCTTTTCCCGCGGATTTGCTTGTCCGGTACTTCTCGAGACCGTTTCGAATGCCCCGGGCCTCGATTACCACGTTTATACGCCGTTTAATCGAATCTGGTTATTAGAAAACGGTTACGTAGCGTTCCTGCGATGCCTATCCTAGACGTTCTCCTCGGTCTCCAGGCGATACGCGCGGCGCGGCGGCGCAGAATGCGCGGGTGCGCGCGGAATCCGGCCTTCGACGGTGGTTTCCAGATTGTTCTCTTTCCTCCCGGCAGAAGTGCGCGTCGTCGCGCGGTGTTACGCGTGACGAAGACGTTATCCATGAGAACAGCTGACCGGTGGCCACGTGCCCGCGCAACGGGTATTCAAATTGATTCGGTCCCTTCCGTCGAGTCGCGCTCGCGGCCCGCATAAATCCTGGACGAATTAGAATACCGTGTATCCTTCGGTCGCGGGGGATCGAACTGGAATCGAAACTATGCCGGCGATCAACAGGTTGACCGCCAAACAGTCACCAAACGCCGTCGAAGCGATTTTCCTGGCGAAACGGAAACTACAGAGAAACTCTTCCTTATCCCTCCTGAGATCCAGTAAAAATCGGTTTGCTCCACGTTCCCCAAGGAAATTCAATGTCGAAACTATGCGAAAGGTCGCCTGAAGTTAAACGACACGAAAATCGAAGTGTTAAAACGTGGTAGGTAACAGCTATGAGAATCGAATAGCAGTTCGCGATTCGGCAAAAGTTTGAAAATCGAGCCGATCGAAAGAGGATCCGTCACGGTGGACTCGTCAAGGTGTTAACGAGGGGTTCGCGTGTCAACGGGGAATCGAGATCCGATCGACGAGAGGCGAGTGGAACCGAGGAAACGCGCGAGAGGAAATTTACAGGACGCCGGGATCGTAATCGGCTGTCTCCAGACCTGTCCGGGATCGGCGGATCGGAGGGTCCTAGACGCATGGAAGTAGATGGCCGGTTTCGCGCGTAGGCGCCGCGTTCCGCGGTATCGTCGTCCGCCGCTATCGGAGTTAATTTACGGCCGGGACGCAGTTTACGCCCCGTAATTTATCCGCCCCCGATCCGAGCCGCGGATCGCGTCAAGGACTCCCCGGCTGGAAATATCGTCGAGATTACGTTCGGGTGGCGCGCAGGGCGCGGCTCGAGGAAATCTCTTTAAACCGGTCGGGCCTTTTTTCCGAATCGGAAGCGAATCGCCGCGACGAAGTACCGGTCCCCTCGGTTCCCCATGATCGAGCGGCATAATCATTGAAAACGCCGCGATCAACGGGACAAGCCCTTTTAACAGTATTCACGATCGTCCTTCGCGTACGACGGTTCCCCGCGCGACCCCACGCTGGCATTCCGCGGTCGTTTAGCTCGCGTCGGGATTCTATCGGAGCGAGGCACTCTCTCAAGCATCTCGTAACAATGTTGGATATATCGTCTAAGTCGCCTTGTCTACAAGTTTCCACTCCGTTCGCCGGCGTTCGCTCGATCGCGCGGGAGACCCGAAGGCCTTCGGCGCGCGTGCGGCTGCCATTAGCACGAGCATGAATTTTTGAGCATGGAAAAGGTAATTTGTCGGGCACTTTGCGAGCAGTTCCCGTTGGTAATTCGGCTCGGGGATACGTCGGGGAGAAACTGTCGCAACACGGTGAACGGTTTCCGCGAGCGAAACGAGCAGGCTTTTGCGAAAGAACGGTAAACCAGGCGACGCTCGGCGAATCCGCGGGAATTAACAGCCGAGAAATTAGGTTGGTCCCGGCCGTTGGTCTTGGTCGAGACGAAACTACCGAACACCGAGAGGAACCGAAAAATCCGCGACCCGGATAGCCGTCGACCGTTGTAACCGCGGAAATTCCCTTAAACGGCTGCGCCGGGGTATTCAAAGCGATATCAAGTATTCCCGACGCCTCTCGATAAGAGCCGCTAACGAGTAGCGGACTTTTTCCCAAAGCGGTCCAAGCGAATTAAGCCGATCCGGCCGTTCGAGGAAGCGTTTTAGAGCCGTGTCACCGTATTTGGGGCCAGCCGAGAAGAGAACCGCCGCCGGGAGGAGAAAAAAGGGGGCCCCGCGCACCCTTGGGGCACACCCTCGGGGACCCACAGGCGATTTGCTTGGTTTCCGCGTGTGCCAGTTATCCAACGACCCGACGCGTTACGTAAACTGACATTTCAGCGCGGCTAATGTGAACTAGCGGACCAGCGAATTAACCGGCGAGCAGTAGTCACCGACTCAATCGGAGTTCAGTGACAAAATCACCGTCCGAACGACTTCCCTTATGCAATTCCGACAGTGTAACGAGCTCCGTTCGATGCACGGACACCGGCTAATTGCTTATGATAATTCGAGCGGTGTTTGTTTACAAAACCGACGGTTTCTATAAAGTGCGAACGACCGATTTCTTTCAACGCTTTTTAGACTCTGCCCGCGACTCGCGAGTCGCTAATGGCGGCCCGTAGATTTTTGTGGAATTTTCCCCGAGCCAAGGTTCACCCTAGCGAAATATCACTTGCCCGTTACATAACGGCCAACCGTTCGAGACATTTGAATACGAATCTGTCTCGCGCCGCCGTTCACCGCGATCGGTTTTCCTCTTCGACCTTCGGACGCGATTCGAAGAGAACCGCGCGGGACGGACTTCCACCGCGGAGGATCGTATAACTTCGCGGCGACCGAAAACAGCCGGAGATCGTAAAGCCAACCGGGAAGCGAGAAAAAAGTTTGACAGAAATGTCAAGCCGGAGCGCTCGGTGACGCGGAGGAGCCGGGATTGTTTAGCGGCAAGTTTGGAACTCGTTCTCGGAAGGTAAAGCGTAGAAAAAGCTGTGAGAAAAAGTGGTTCATCACTCACCGACTCTGGACATGACCGCCAGCAGGAGCAACACGCTGTTCACGATCATTTTCGCGTCTCCTTTTCGTTGATCCTTGCACAGCTTCGACGGTGGTATATCGCGTACCGATGCGAAGACGAAAATGTTTTCCGATCGAAGGTACCGGCTCTACTCGAAGGAGGAGGAGAAGGTGATGGCCGAAGGGTGTGCGGCTCACATATGCGTAAAAAACCAACGACGATGGATGAACGGCGAACCGGTGGAACCGATGGATCGCACGATGACCGGTGACTCCGTCGTTCGCCGCGCGGTTCTCCTTGGTTTTATTCGTGGATTAGGTTTTCTACCGAGCCCGATCCCGGATTGCCGAGCGGACACTGGCTCTCGCTGTCTTCTGGCTGGACGTTCTCGCTCGAGGATTCGGTAAAAATCCACCGCGGGGAGAATAATAGAAGATAAACAGGGAAGGAAGGGAGCAGCAACGGCAGCAGCAGCAGCTTCGGATGTTAGCGCCGTTCAAAGCCGCGAGAGCTCCATCGACGTCGCAAAACATATGCTACGGTCACGAAGAGAGAAAGGTGACTGGGTATACGCAAGGCGTGCTCAATACCTCCTGTCTTCTTGGCATAGTCACCTTTCTAGCAAACCAGCAACAAAGAAGAAGGGAGTGTTGGTCGGTATACCGCGTGGCCACCACCATTCTCGCGTCCACCGATCACCGAACGATGGTGGTGGCCGCGTTGCTGGCGGTGGTGGTGGTCCCGCTGCCTTATGGTGGTGGTGGTTACGACGACGACGACGACGATGCTGGTGGTGGTGGTGGTGGTAGCGCACGGTACACCGATCCGGTCGCCTTCCACCGACGAAATCCGCCTTCCTTCGATCAAATTTTTCCCGTTTCTCGTATCGGTAACCCTGAAACCGTTCTCGGCTTACGTGACCAGCCGACAGCTCCGTGACTGTAGAAAAGTTGCTCGTTCCTCTGCAAAGGAAATACGTCGGGAAGGGTTAGTTCTCGTCGTCTATGAAACGCAGACCGTAAAATCGGCTGAATTATTCGCAACTTCCCTTGTTACCTCCGGGAGGCACTCTTCGCCTGGCGTATTGCGTTTCGTAAAGTAGATATCCTTACGGCTGGCCGTTGCTCTCTCACGGTGAGATCGGGAAATATGGTTGAATGTCTTCGTTACACGAACGGATTATGTCCCAGGTTTGTATAAAAACTTTATTTTTTTGTTCCTTTCGGCCATATAAAATCATCAATATTTGTTCAAATACACGTTATTCTGACGCAACATGATTATACATCGACGATCAGTTTCGAACGAATGAAAAACCATAGATCCGCTAAGTAACATCCAACTGTCTATACGCTTAATGTTAAAATACCCCTCTGTTAGAATTAAAAACGTAACGTTTGGTACCTTCCTTTCTCTTCTTGCTTTCTGCTTTTTTGTCAGTGTGTTAATATCTTTGTTCGGAGGAGAAGCGCTCGAGTTTTGCACAGTCCCGTACCTAATTAAATTCGTGGTGGCGAAGAATATGCAGGAAAAAAGAGGCGGACGCGATCCGCGCATCTCGTTGAACGTAGAAAACGTATCGTTGACACCATGTGTCGTGAAGTGGAAAAATAATTATATACATGTGCCAGTTTCGACGGGGAGCGAGGGTAGAGAGAGAGAGAGAGAAGAATAAGAGAAAGGGAAAAAAGAGAGAAAGAGGGAGAGAGAGAGAGAGCGCGATTCTTCGTTCCTGCTGATTCTTCGGATATCCAAAATCAGGAGTACGTTAAAAAATAGAACATTTCACGTAACATATATAATAACGCGCGCGGACATACGTTGCCGCGGCGGACGAAAAATGCCATTAACACGGAATTACGAAAATCCTTTTGAATCCTGTCTCCGATGATTACGAATATATCACATGATAATTACGAACGTATCACATATACACATATATATATGTACATCATCCTCTTTGCTTGCGTCGCGGAAACACAAATATACGGCGTCGAGGTTTACCTACGCGAATCATTTGCTTTCCCTTCGGGCGTACCAATGTAAATGAACGTGAACGACTAGACGTACTTGCGATATTGTCGCAAGTAATTTCTTACTTCCTCTTAAAGGTCTACCGAGAGCTCGTTGAAATGCGAACGGAACCGACGAAATGTACAAGACCGATCGCGCGCTGTACAACGCGTTCGCGAACGAACGGCGGGGAAAAAAAAGGAATAAAACGCGAACGTTCCCGCAATAGAGTGATACGTAAAACCTTGGAAATACCTTCTACGTACATGATTACAACTTACGAATAATCTGTGCCCCGAATACATAGCGAGACTACGCACAAACGTACACGTCGAAGAAACAAATGGGACGTTACCGATAAATGGATCCGCGTTCAGGCGGAAACGGAGGCGTACACGTTGATCGTTTTACTTTTCCTCGGAACCTTGCGGCGAATAATATTAGCAGCCACGTCTTACGCTAAGAAATATTTAAACTGTACAGTCAGCGTAATCAAGACACCGTAAAAGTTACCGTGAGAAGTCACAAAGAAACTGATTTCCGAAAGCTCTCAGATAGCCCAGAATCGCGCGAGTCGCGAGTCGCGCTTCGATTTTCTTTCCCTCGCGCAAACAGATCCCTGTCCCTGAGACTCGTATAAAATATCAGTTTCGCACGACAGAGATAAAGCAAGCGCCCGGTGAATTTGGTTTTTCGAGCGATCGATCGACCACGATCGGAATACCTCGCGCAGCGTCGAAGGCCGGTTTTGAAAGTCGAAAGATGCTCGCCTGAACAATTTTTTTTTCTCCACTTTTGTTATTCGTTCGTTTCTTTTTTCTTTTCTCTTCCTTTTTTATATTTCGCTCGTTTTATTATCTATGGAACGATTCGTATGTACATCAATTGAACACGGCGATCGCGCGACAAGGTGCCGCGGCCCGATTGGAATTGGAACAATATCATAAGGTACCCTATCAATATTTTGTACAAAATTCATTTGCGAATACGTAAAAGCACTGGTTATCGCCATTCCTCGCGAATGAAAGACCTTCTTGATTCGCTGTCCGACAACCACCGTAAACATGGCGGTTTTTCTAAACTTACAACGCTGCAAATGTTCCCTATACATTTGGAAGTAGCCGCCCGCGTGAGCGCGCAACCACGCTGCGCTAAACAGCAATTTGCGCCACTATCGCTTCGAAATGTTCGAGACTATACGTGTATATATAGGATGCTCGTTTCGAGTGTGGATAACTGCGTAACTGATAAAATATCTTGTATAATTCTAATTACTAACTAATTCAATTTGCCTATACTTCTTGCGCAAGTTGCTTACAGAGTCTTTAAACAGAACAGGGTCGAGCCTCATGTTGGAACGTAACAACGGCATGTAGCCGAAAACGGCTACGAACGTGTTCATACACGTTTGCCGTTGTATAAAGTGATCTGGATCGTTCCAGGGAGATCTAAAAATTACAATGTTACACACCTGTTGCGATTCCCAGCCGAAATACACTGAACAGAGATCTGAATATCAAGGATAAGAAACGACATACCTAATTCCAGCCACTGTAGTATCTTTATACAATTTCCTTTGCGTCACTTTAATCGGTGGTCGTCGTGTGACGTGGCTTACTAAAAAATTCATAAGTATGTCCTCGCAGTTCTGCGACTGCTCAACGGTCTTATGAAGCGTCGAGCTCAGTAATTCGGTATATAACGTATTATAATAACGATGGTAAAAAGCGGCACCAGTTAGAATTATACTATAATCGTTTGTCCATTTACTTGTATAACCCCATGACCGCTGTAACGTGGAAACGCAAAGAATATGATACGAATGTTTCCCTGTTTCCTAACGAACCGATAATAATAACAATAATGTGTTTTATGGTTACCTTCGAGTCATCCCAGTAATGTGATCTTGCTGGATAGCCAACAATTCGATCAGGAAACGATCTCCAAACCGTAAATGCAAAATCAATTTCGTCGGTATTGAGTGTGGCATCTTCATCTAGCGATAATATGGCACTAGTTTTGATTAACGGATGAGGATAGAAACGTTGGGATATACCATCGACCGTGACGATGTGTATTGACGCTTTGATCCCTTGCCAACGTGGCCTCCTCGGTAGTGGAACATCCGAATTCCACATTAGTATAATCTGAGACGTAACAACGCGCAACGGTTATTTATTTACAATTATTAACAAGCCAAAAGGAATGATGCCAGCGTTTATTACTCACCCTATCTAGGTATTTACTTTTCGCAACGCTTTTAAGCAGACGATAAAGTACGGCAGTAGACCCTAACTGCGAATAAATGATGGCAGTAAAAGTGTTACCCGGATTGCTCTTTGAAAACGGAAGTTCTTGCTGACTATCGGCAAATTGCGGTAATATCGCTAATGCGCCGGGACTAGTATTCCAAACGAGTTTTTCTCTGGTGCCCTCCCATGGCAAACGTTCACGTATGTTCTGAAATATTAATGCACAGTCTATAAGTCAACGGCGCAAATAAATATCAAGCACCCGAGTAGGTATATATTATAATTAATTACCTCGAACACGGTAAATACAATTTTTTCTATTGACGAGAAGTATCGTTCCCAAAGGAATTGCGTCTGCTGCCGTAATTTAAGTATCTGTACATTAGACACAGACCGCACTATATCTGGAATCTGGAAGCATATAATTTAGATGTTTTCGAAACTTTCGAACTTCTATCTGTCTTCTTATGGTAAGTAAGTGAATCTTGCATACTTGAAGTAACAGTCTTTCGTCAGAAAATATAGCGGCTTGCGTCCAATCAATACGTTCGTGAAAAGGAAGCGCCCAGCCATTACTTAGAATAACCGGAATGCATCCAGCTCTTAAAGCTTCTAAAAAACGAAAACTACCAAGTCTTCTGCCTCTTGGTACCAGACAAAAGGTAGCATTCATCAACAAAATTTCATAATCGTACCTAAAATTGCAAACAATGCATTCAGGATTGTTTCAAGGATACAATAATTTTAATTCAATATAGTCACACTAACGTATCGTATTCCTGATTATCCTGTTGACAGTGTTCATCTTGGAACTCCCTCCATGCTTTGCCATGACGACAAGTTGTGACAAATACCAAGTCTTTACCATTGTGTAAATGATAGAGAGCATTTCTAGTCTCAGATCCTATGCCATGGACATATCTTTTACCCTTGAAAGCTGCCACATACTTCTTATTGTTTGGAAAGTTGTTTTCTGAAGCTTGACCTGGTTCTCCACCACGTTCTGGATGTTGTTTTCCAAATAAAGGTATAGACACATCAAAGTTTGGTCTGTGCCTAAATATTGACATACTAGCTTTTGCAAGCATAGCAAAGCCTAAATCAAAGGTCAGAGAGTCTTCTGCATAATCAGGCCATGTGCCAGAGTATAAATTAAATATCAAATGATTTCTTCCATTATTCCAATACGGTAAGCGCATTAATTTAGCTGGAAGGTTGTGTACAAATTCTGTTGACAATGGATCTCTATCCAATGTATCCAGAGCTAACACAAATATACATGCCCTATTTGGATCCGGTGTATAATATCTTGATTCCGTAATAACATTTAATATTTTTTGGTATAGCGGACTTATCACATCCTCAACTGGATAGACATACACGGTAAAACCATTCTTGCATCTGGTGAAATCAAAACATGTCTCCATACGGCATTGTCTCATACGTTGAGATACAAGAGAATTTCCATTTGATGTTCTTAAATCCTTGTCATAGAACTCTTCATTTATACTTAAGTACGAAGGCAATCGCTCGTAAGGCAACTGAGATCTGCCTCCTGCCTTCTCACTTTTTAACCGGTAACCACCAAAGTAACAGTAACCAAGAAACGCACAAGTTACGAATAATAATAAATAGCGCTTCTTGGCTTGCATTTTTTAATGCAATCAGGTTACGCACAAATACAGATGAATGCTAAACATTATTCCTTATGTATAGATTATATGCATTTAATCATAAATGCATCGTAAAGAATTTCTTGCTTGTTCACTTTTAGAGACACGGTAATCAAAACTTATTACAAAATGGAATTGATTGTATTCCATAAAATTGCTGAAACAGAATAAAAATAAAAGCATACATTAACACGCGCGCACATCGTTTTAAGAGCACCTTAATACTTTTATATTCAGCAAATTAATAAAATCATATTTATAGACCACTATCGCGCGTACATTTACGGCGCATCACTTAATAACACTATCATATTTTTAAATAACTGAAATGCCAATGCGACACGGAAACAATAATGATAAGAGACCAGATAAACGGACACGAGTATTTTAGTTACCTTACTAACGTTGACTGATTCAATATTGCCTATCAACAGGAACGTTTCAAGAGGATCGACCATTATAAAATACATGGCAAAAGACGTGACACATCCACGGAAAACTTTACCCCTATATTTCTATTCATATAATTACATTACGATTTACAAAATGTCGAAATCTAAATGACAGATTGTAAACGGTCGATGGACGCCTGTCGATGGAGTTAACCTATACGCGAATTATCTCGCAGGTTGCACAGGGTAACCGACAACGTCGAACATGTCGAAGTCGAAGTTCGATGAGACGGCGGCGAACGATGATTCATACTTATTTAGGACAATATATTTTCCTGGTTAGAGAACACCGCGCAGTGAATAATCTTTAACCCTTTAGGTTAGTTCTGACGTACATCCAATTCGCAGAACTCGCCGGCGTTATTACGCCCATACGCATTTTCGGTCGGCGTGACCACACGCGCGTGACATCGATCGGTAAACGCCTCCAAGTGCAAAATCATTGCACGCAGCGCATTAAATAATTGGTTTAAAAAGCAACGCGAGTTATGCAATGACGTTGGAACGATTAGACTGGCAAATCGCTTATTGGTTACTTCATGCCAAGCTCTCGAGAGACGTCCCGTTCCTTTGTGTGCGCGTTGCGTGTTCGTGCATAGAGCATCGTGAGCTACCACACTTCTACAAATCTAAACAAAACTGCCGATCAAGGTTACCCTGCTACCTAGCGGTGGGCCGATAAAGCTTTCGAGCCGTTTCTCCCGCTTCGATTAAATTTATTAAAAGCACACATTTTTTTTATTGCAAATCAATACTCTAAAAGGAAGCCGCGTAGCTTAGCGGAAAACTTACGCGATATCGGCTGTAGCAGGCGGGTTATCGTCTGCGTCTCATGAAATTTCCTTTAAGATTAAGATATAAAATCTAACGATTTACTTTTATAGTTGAACGCATCTGGTGGATGCGTGTATTTCTTTTTTTCTTTTCTTGTAATAATACACTCACTTTGCAACGTATCGCTATCCGAGCGATTCACTGGAAAAGCAACGTCGAACGGTATCTTGTTTTTTTCACGTACACGGCTCTTCCGACAAGCGACTTGTTTGACAAATGAATAATGCGTTACGGATGAATCGTTTCATCCGATTAAGTATATTCAGTCGCGTGCTCGGAATAAAACCGACGATTTTGCAGATTCGCAGAATTCGCGACTCGTAGAAACAGACATTCGACGACACGTTGCTTCGTCAATGAAACTTAATCTTCCACTAATCTTCGACACACCTTCTTTCGCGAGAACGTTCCTCGCGCTACTTTACACGACCGAGCGAATTGTTGAACTGTTTCCAGTTCAAGCATCATCTCGGTATTATAAAGGCGCGAAGATTTCACCTTGATCTTTGATCTGATGACAGTTTTTACAAACACATCTTTAACGCACGCTTTCTGCGAGGAAAACTTTTTTAATGTGGATTTACTTGTTAAACGTTACACAACCGTTCAGAACGATGAATGCGAGCGTCTAACTTGTTAATTACATAGAACTAGTTACCTTGTCATTTGCATTCAAATACAGTTTCCGATATTTTTTATCCGCTTTTTATATCGGTCATGGATTATTTGTAGCAATAACGTCGTTTTCCTATGATTAATAACTCTAATGAGGATTGTAATAGTATTGCAATAGTGTGTTTGTAATAGGACTTCAACTTTGAGTTTTATTGCAAGTACAGTTGATGTATTGAATGAAGTAACAGAGTCGGCTTATTTATAAAATACAATGGATTTCTTTGTAGATGTCAAGTAAGGTTCTAGAATGAAAACAGTCTAGCCACTGTGTCAATACAATCTACCATTGATGAATGAGAATATTACTTATGGAGTAAGAGTGAATTGCTATATACAGATTTTTGTAATAATTTTATTTAGACTACCTTAGAATATTGTAAGTAATAAATATAATGTCTATAATAAAAATTAATGTATGTATAAAAATAATTTTAATGGAACAACAACATTTAGATATCACTCTTAAGAACAATATGATCTAGAACTTCATTACTATTTCTTATGCTAGGTGTGAAGGGTATTTCTGTTTCTCCATCATAAATTTTTAGAGGAGCATTGGATTTTCTTACTCTAATCCTAGTGTCAGCGTTTAATCTTAATTTGCGTCCATTCACAACTGGACAATCTCTTAGATTATTTAAATATTCTGCAGCTACCTGACAACTTTCCATTTTAATCATTGCAGCCCTAAATATCCAATTAAAATGATTAGTAAATTTTTGACGATAACAAATGTACAAAACAATATAAAAATAAAATGAGGAATACCTGGATTTCGGTGAATAAGGCTTCAACATTTTAATGGACCTACATCCAGGAATAGCAGCTCTCAACTCCTGAAGTGCGGTTCCACATTTGATGTTCGACACAAACAACCTGTATAAAAAATATTACATTTTTTTAAGGTATTTAAAAAACTAACAATTGTGACCAGGAAACAAAGATACTCACGTCTTTGTCACTTTTATATCTTCTTTTATTCTAGGTATAATAATCTTTTTTCTATTCACCTTTGGTAAGTCATCTTTGGATTTTATAATTGCAGGTTCTACCACTAAACGTTTACCATTCACTTGGGTGTTCTTCATAGCTTCTAAATTTCGTAATTTTTCTTCGACAGTATTAAAAATTACGTAGCAATGTCTGCTGGCTTGACGAAGGGGTTTTACTTTAAAGTCACCGGTAAAGAACTTCGCCACATCCTCTTGTTTTCGTATCACGTGTGGCAGACGAATATATAAAGCCCTTTCCTTTTCTTTTTGTCTACGTGCGAACTTCCGTGCGAATTTCCGTACGAAATGCATTTTTTATTCTTAAATTAATTTCACCTTTGCAACAATTACTACACACTAGAATATTTACGTTCCACTTATTAAACGAGATCAAGTGTGTTTACATTGCAATGGGACCACGTTGATAGAGGTTAGGTTATGTTTATAGTTGTACAGTATAAGAAGCTACGTGAATACAAGCGCGTGTACTTTTTCACGTGCGTGGACGACTTTACCGAGATTCTTCGAATAAAGATCACTGATTGGCCGGTAGCGACGTGTAAAGGTCAAAAAGGACAAATTCTACGAATACTTGCAATATCGTTGCCACGATAGCGGCTTGACCAATTGTCGTTCGATTCTTTTGGTTAGAAAAATGACGATTGGTTTGCGGAACGTCCATCGGGCCGTTCGACGCGAACGGAAGCGACATCTGGTTGTTGTCGCGAACCTGGTAAAAACGTTTCTCCCGTAAGAAGTCACAGATGGCCGTCTGAAATCAACAACCGGTACAAGGAACGAGCAAAGTGACGCGGTTATGTACGCAAAACAATCGCGTCGTACGCGCAAAACGTCTTGAAACATGTAAGGAGCCGTCACCGTTAGTGCCGTCGTCGCCTTCAAATTTTCCGTTCCTTTTTGTTCTGCCGTCAGCGGTGAAAAGCGAAAACGTTCATTCGGTTCTCCCGTCGCCTTCACGAATCGGTATTTATCATCGGTGACGTACGGTTTTTCGGAGTACCGAGGCCAAACACAAATCGACGCACGACGATGAGCGCGAACAATGTGCAAGCGCTGTTCGCGTGCTCCAGATGCTTTTCAAGGCATCCGTTCGAGGAACTCTCCCCGGGGCAGCAATTGTGCAAGGTATCGTTTCTCGTGTTTTCGTGTGTTTTTCTTCCCCCGGAAATTCTGTTCCGCGGTACGGACGATTCCTCAGGAGCGTCGTTTCTCGTCTTCGCGAGACACCACGCTAATTATAGAACTTTCAATTGAAACGTGCGTTTCGCGTGCAAACGATGCTCTTCCGCGACGTTTGGAACTCCAACCAGGAAATTAGTCGTGTTTGTAATTTATTAATCACTAGACTGCGGACGTTTATGCAAATATAATACTTTGTGGGCTAATTTACAGGAACTGGATTCAAACAGAATTTGTTTACTCTGTTAAGGGTTCTACCAGAGTCCACACGAAACAAAAACCTCATTGAACCGTATAAAACTTTCTATCATGCTGAGTTTTATAGAATTGCGTATGCTATAAATGCATAAAATCTGCAGTCTATTTATCGTGTATGAACACATTCCTTCACAATCAAATTTTCAGATCTGATTCTGCATGATGCTTGTTTTGAAGAGCTAGATAAGTATCGCATCCTACGACCACTTTTCTTTGGAAGTTTTACATTTATTCTAAAACACAATTTTCTCAATTTTCTTCTTACGCCACACTGTGTGTTTCATACAATAGCACGGACACTGTGTGAACACTGAAATTTTTATACTTGTACGTTTCCTTCTTTAGAAACTTTCTCTATATTATGTTGCTTATTTAGGAGTGCAGAGGTGCATTTCCAGTGGTGAAATGTACGTATTGTAGGTCAGAATTCCAGCAAACAATGTAAGCATTCACAAATGTTGCTTTGTAACCATTGTAATTAGCTCCGGATATTTACATTAAACATTTCTGCTTTTCGTCTTACAGAAAGGGTAATACAAGCACTATATGTAAAAAATGTGAGCAAAATGTGAAATCTTATGGTAAGCCATCGGCCTGTGAATATTGCAATACGATAGCTGCATTTATCGGTAGCAAGTGTCAACGATGTACTAACTCCGAAAAACGTTATGGACCACCGGTTACTTGCGAGCAATGCAAACAGAAGTGTGCCTTTGACAGACAAGACGAAGATAAGAAGGTGATGCTAACAAGAGTTTGGAGTCCTTCTCCATAAATATTTTTCTTTTCGTATCGGTGTTAACTGAACCACATTATTGCTCAAGGTTGATGGAAAATTGTTATGCTGGCTGTGTACATTATCATACAAACGAGCATTGGCGAAAACAAAACAATCGGATGCAGAAAGGAGGGCACATTTGAAATTGGCACAACAGCGGGCAGCAAAGCACAAAGAACAAAAGTAATTATTCAAATACATAATGTCACAAGGTAACTTTATGCTTAGTAGCTTTAATTGTGTTCGTCACAATTTCAGTATCACTTCGATGTTAAGCAAGCCGGTAACGTTTTCACGTGTTAGAGCAGCTCGCGCGATACTTGTACTCTTATCTCACTGATTTTGCTTCAGAATGAAAGGTCACAATAAGAGACCGCACAGAGTAGACGTAACTAAGCTACCGCCTCAGTCAGAGGGTGGCGACACGAATGGCCCTGCGCCGGTGAAAGCTGCGAGGATGGTCGGTGTCCATGATCCCCACGATCCGAACAGTTCGGATCACGTGGTCGCGGTGACGCAACTCAAAGAAAAAATAGCCCATCTTCAGAAGCAAATCTCCATTAAAGATGGACAATTGCTCGCCAAGGATAGACAGGTAAATGTTCCTGAACACCTGAATGAATGGTCGATCCGTAAAGCGAACCATCTTGAATGACCTTCGGGACGATCGTTTTTGTTCATAGATCACTGAATTGAAAGCGAAAAACTTCACCTCGGAGACGGAACTGCGCAACAAGATGAAGGCTACGGAGAAAGAGTACGAAGCCAAAATATCGACGATGCAACTCAAGATCTCTAGTTTATTGAAAGAGGTTGCTTCCTTATCGAAGAGTTCCAAGCGAGGCGACAGAGTGGCTGCAACGAAAACGGAAGCTGGGACCAACAGCGGAAGCGGAACAGACAGTCCTGTACCTTGATAAGGTAGGACATTTCACATCCTCATTTATTCTTCGTCAATTAATGTTCGGACCATAATATTCTACGTTTATCATTTTTAATTCGTCGACGCAACATATCCTTGCAAACAATAAAATGTTTTACAATTGACCATGTTTAGCGTTTGGTATGGTATTTTATTTTGTGATTCAGCGTTCTTGGCTTCTCGATATTTCGTTTTCCGTTCGGAGCCAAACGTTACGAGAAGGATTCCATTTATGATTCATTGTGCTTTTAGTTTTGTGATCTAGCGTTTCGAAGTACGCGTGTATGAGAATATATATTATTTTCGCTACCTCGATCATATATTTTCTTACGAGTTCTCTCGGACTTTTTCTAAAACTATTTTAAGGCCGTGCTCGGTCGCGCGATACTAATTACGCGCCCGAGATCTACCGAGTATAACACGAAGAGTGATCAAAGAATGTTAGACGATTTCGCTTCGTACCGTTCGCTCCGGCGTTCATTGCCTTTCTCATCCGCGTTATCGGTGCTTCGTGATTTTCGTGTACGAGACCACACGCCGTCTCGTCGGTGATTTCCGTTCGACGTGCATATCCCAAGCAAAATGTCGTTCCCATAAGAAACACGAGAATGCAAAGAAAGTAGCGACATGTCACATTTGTCCGGGAGATGAAAGACTTTTTCTTCAAATTGTTTTCAGGGACTTGGTTAGCTGTGACAACATACTCGAATGTCCATACCCGCATAAATCATGTGGTACATTACGTATAGCTAATTGTTTCCATTAACAAGGCAAAATCTGTATTATTTTTCTAATTAATATAGGAATATGTATATTGTCCTCGACGCGTGTAGACATGTGATCTTACGCATTTTTCTTACGTCCGGGGGATGACGATGCGAATGGCTGAGAAAAGAAAGAAACTGAAACACACATGTACACAAGCACACGGACACGCTCACATTCCACACTAACACACTTATACAAAATACACACATAAATACACACACCACACACAAAGTAATTGTTACTCTCGTAAGTTAGGTAATTTTCCAAGCCCTCCCTGCCGTTACGTTTCGTTTCGATATCCGCGGCCGCGAGTGTTCGGCAGAGTTCGTTCGTCGGCGACGAGTAAGAAGCCACGCGCGATCGTTTGAATTGTACAATAAAGAATCGGTGATAACGCGAAATTATGTCCGACGGGACACGGGTGTTTTAACAAACGAGAAACTGAAAGTAACGAACGCAGAAACACGAGAAATGTGTCGATAACCGCGAAGAAACGAAAACAGACTTGTATATGTGCCGCAGACACGTACACACGTACATACACACACTATGGATAATTGAGCAATAGTGCTGCTGTAACATGTCTCTTTTTTTTTCCTATTTATAAACGATGAAGATGTAAACGACGATGAAAACCAGGATATGGTGATTGTAGATCAATTTACAATAAAAGGTTGAAAACGACATACCTCGCCTTCTAAGTTTGAAACATATCCTTGGACTCTTTTACTTTTCCTGCCAGCGGGATTCCGGTTCCCGGCGATCCCGGTTATCGTTTCTCTTTCACGGTAACCCGGATCGACGGGATACGTTGACGCGTTTCACAGACAGACAGGTGTGTCCGAACTGTAACGTAATTATCCCTGGATCTCTCTCCCGTCCGTCCCACTCGAGACGACACGGAACTCGAGCCAGTTCCACGAG